CATTCATTTGATCAAAAGTGTCCGTAAAGACATTTATAATGTTACAAAAGGTTTCTATTTAAAATAAATGCTTTGTTTAAACTTTCTATTCATCAAAGTATCCTAAGGTTTCTACTGTTTTCAACATTGATAATGATCAGAAATGTTTCTTGAGCAGCAAATCATCATATTAGAGTGATTTCGGAAGGATCATGTGACACTGAAGACTGGAGTAATGATGCTGAAAATTACAACTTAAAATATATTCAAAAAAACAAAAAAACAGTTGCTTTAAATTGTAATGTTTCAATATTAATGTTTTTACGTCATTTTTAATGAAATAAATGCAGCCTTAGTGAGCACGAGAGACTCTTTCAAGTTTCATAATACATAATTTTGATCTTAATGTGCATGATTTATCAGTGCATGCTTAATTCCTAATTCTGAGAAAAGCTTGTGCATCATTTCTTTGCAGATGCAACTTGGTTTGATATTTTGTATCTAATGCAATGACATTCAGACAGTTTTAAACGTGTCCAAATACCTTTCGAGACCACTGTAAGTATTGCTGTCTTACAAAAAATTTTTCAAATACAAAATCTTTACATAAAGCTACATTTTTGTAACAGATTACACATGATGTCTGACTCATACCTGTGGTCATGAGGAAATTTCGACCACCACTGTTGACATGTTCGTCCTTTCATAGTCGTCGACACTTTCCCTCGATAGTCTTCTCCTTTACCCACGATGCATTTCCTTACATAGACTGAGTACAGGAGAACATTCACTTTCTGATACTTCATGTATGCAAAATCTACTGAAACACATTTCGAGAAGCAGTTTTTCACCTTTCATCTCATATAGGTCACAGTTCACGTTTCTCTTGACGTCTGCATTGACTCCGTCGCCCACCCAGGGCAGATGCTTACACACCACAGACGGACGAAACTCATAATTGAAAGCTCTGTAAAGTTCACTTTTTGTCAGAAAGCTGCACTCAAATACATCTTGTAAAAAAAAAAAAAAAAAAAAAAGTATTCCCTTGTGAAAAAAGTGTGACTAAAATATATTAAATGTGCACTTGTAGTGTATTTCAAATTTTAACAAAAATCTTACATATACAATTTATATTATACCATCTATATTAATATATTACATCATGACAGTTTTAAAAAGTGCAGTTTGTAATAATGTCGAATTCAAAGTTTTACTTTAAAGTGCAATTTAAATCAATGTTTTAATAATCGTTTGTCATGCTTTAAACTTTGATTATAATTGTAACTGTAGTGTGTTATTTGTTAAAGTTAATATATTTAAAATTGCAAAAGACAACATAATTCTGAAATTACATGCATGTAAAGTGTACTAAAGTCCTAGACAAACCCCTCCCCCCGAAACAACTAAATACATTTAATGTAAATTTAAATGAATACATTTTCATTCAATTGTAAATAAAAGTGAGGAAACGAGACCTGCATTCTGGACTCTCAGTGCAGCGTTTAGCACAATCCTCCAAAGTGATTCCTGGAAGTTCAGTCAGACGGTTTACGTTCCAGGACTTCAGAACCAGCTCTCTCCCCTCAGTTCTCTGGAAGTCATTGAGTGCGCTGCGGTGTGCTGTTAAACATCAGAACGGTTCAACTACCGTAGTCACTACTACCAGCATGCTTCAAGTCAAGTTACCTTTATTTCTATAGCGCTTTATTCAACACAGATTGTATCAAAGCAGGATAACAGGAAAATGATGCAAACATACAGCAGCTCTAAAAGAAAATAGTGTCGTTGTTCAGCTGAAGTCAGTTCAGTGTTGATTCAGTTCCATTGTAACGATCATCAATTATTACATTAGTTCATTTAATCTATAAAGCAGTTCCTCCTCATAGCTTCAAATAAAAGTTCTATATACTTACTTTGATATAGTACTAAATCATTATTTATTTACCGTGCTATTCAGATCATTTACATTTTTTACCACTTTGGATATAATTAGTAATAAACAAAAATCAAGTTGAACCTAAAACTCCCAAAACCAACTTTCTGAGTCAGTTATTAAATGAAAAGAATGCTGCCTAAAATATAGTGAATTATAACACTTAACAATAAGGTCTTATTTGTTAACATGTATTAACTGAACTAACTATGATCAATACATTTGTTACTGCATTTATAATCTTTGTAAATGTAAGTTAATAAAAATCCAGGTGTTCATTGTTCGTCCATGTTACTTCACAGTGCATTAACTAATGTTAACAACTTCTGATTTTAATAATATATAAGTAAATGTTGAAATTAACATCAAGTAAGATTAATAAATTCTGTAGAAGTATTGTTCATTGTAAGTTAATTTGAACTAGTTAACTAATGAAACCTTATTGTAAAACATTTTTACAGTGAATGTCCAAAAACATGCAATTGCCACGGTGCGTTGTCTAAAAACCCTTTTTGCCGCATTATTATTAGTGATTCCAGCAAACTCTTTATGATCTTTTTGTGCGGGCTTATAGCGCTGTAGTGTTATGCATGTCCTCTCAGAGGTGCTTAAACACACATGACCTTTGGATCTGCAAACTACATCTGTTTCACTAAAATCCCAGTGGCATGACACGATCACGCAGGGATGCCCAAATAACTACACAGTAAACAGAATCTGACACAGCTGTAACACACATGTCTGTGTTTAAATGAACATGTGCCGGTGTGCATGACCAGAAAGGGGCATTCATAAAACACAACTTTGCCACAATTTCATTTGCTTACAAGAGTTCTGTGGAAGTGATAGAAATACCATTTTCTTTCATATCATATATGGCACTGAATCATATTCATTTACCATGGTATTTCCACATTTTTACTTTGTTTGTCAAAGTTACTCAACTGAAATTTATTATATTTAAAACATCCTATTTAAATAAACTTTGTTTACATGGATCAATTGACGCTGTTCCTTACAAAAATATACCATGGTAACTAGTTGTAGCCAAAATAGCACAGTTACTGCAGTTATTTGTAAGTATAAAATAATAATGAATAGGATCTTTAACCATATTATTATGGTGTTTGAGTATTTACCATGGTAAATACTTGTAAGGAGTTACACATGTTCTCTGGCTGTTTCGGGAACCTCTAGCAATTTGAGCTACGCACTGTTTATCTAAACAACAACAACACCATATTTAATGTATTAAAACACTTAAAGTGAAAAGAAAGCCTTATTTCTGAGATGATTGATCTTACCATGAACTGCATCAGGCCAAAGCACCAGCGCTGTGAGAAAGAAGAGTGAAATCATGGTATAAGAGCTGCGTTTCTCCAGCAGCAGAGCTCTTCTGAGGGACTTTGATTCTTCTCCACTGGATCAACTGATGAAGGGGGTGCTATAGGTGTGTGTTTACCCTGACCGAACGGGACATTTCCCAATGAAGACGGCTAAAGTAAACAAATGCCAGAAACAAACCAATAATAATAATAACACATTATCATCATTAATAACCGAATGATAATAAATAAATCATAATTAGTGCTGTTTATTATACTGAAATAATAATAATAACTTTTTATTTTATTAGTAATTGTTATTTTTTGTTCTATTCTAGAGTTATTCTAGAGCTGCTGTAAAGCCACAACAATCTGTTACTGTAATTTCCACTGTTAAGCTGCTTTGAAACAATCTGTATTGTTAAAAGCCTTATATAAAGGAAGGTGACTTGACTTGACTTGTTCTTATATCATCCTGTTATGGATTTCTTTCTACCTAATTTGTTTGAAAGACAACACTGATTTCTTTTTTAAAAGTACAATCAACTTGGATGTTTAAGTGATATCAACTTAAATTACATTAAACCGACTTAAAAAAAAAGAGTTGAATCTTGTATAACTTATTGATCATATATATTTTTTTAAGGTTAGGCTATAAGTATTAAATCATTCAGTCATAGAATCATTCAACCGATTCGTGCAAAATAGTTTGTCACGACCAAAACTAATATTATTATGCTCTATTAAAATCTGTATTCCTTACAAATTACAACAAAATCTACCTTCATTTCTATATTATCCCCAAAGGAAATTGCTTTTTTTTTTTTTTATCAAACTATAGAAAAGAAAAATCTTAAATATTTAATAAATAAATTATGAAGCTAAACATTAGCCTGTTATATGCTTTTAAAAGGATGGGACTTCAGTGAAAGACAAATACGATGGCAGCGATTCACCTTCACTTAAAAGATTCATTTACAAACGAAAGAGGGCTATTTGACACGATGGTCTCATTAACATACTATTAGCCTACAGGTTGTATAGCCAGGTGATCTGATCACATAACACTTGACCACATGAAAACCATATGCAAATGAATGCCCTCAAGACGCACTGAGATCGGATTGCTTCATTTGGATCGTCAGGAACTGATTCTCACCACGTTCGATGCCAATGCAAATGACCGCAATCTAATTAAATGCGAGAGTTGGCAACCCTGAAATGCGTTTTACTTTCCAATCTCCATCTCATCATTACTAATGGAAAACTTGTGAAAAGCTAAATATGAGCAATTTGCCAAAATTAAAAACCAAATATATTCAAAAATAATCAAAAGGCCAAAACAATTTAGCCACATTGCAGGCTAATATGGTTTTATTTAGTAGGCTAACAAATAACATAAGCTTAAAAGCTGGTTGTAATTCAGTCATTTAAGAATAAATGAATCTTGAATTAATAATTAGCATAAAGCTGGTTAAAATCTGCTGTGCGACTAGTAAATGTATGATGAGAAATCACTGAGGTAAATGTTTTTTTTGTAGCATTTATGAAGGTTGTCAGTGTCGACAGCGCCGCTGGAGGTCAGTGTGTCTCTCTGGTAAAACTGACAGTCTTCCGGGACTCGTAGTTTACTCTGGTACAAAACTATGCTATACTCAGGTTCATAGGTGGATCATTGAACTTTAACCAACCAAATTGTTCGAATACTTTATATTGTAGCTTCGTTTGTTTATATAAATCTTTGCAGTAATCGAAGTGTTTTGTGCGTGACCTTTGCTCCTCTGTTTGTTCCTCCAGAGTTCTCTCACTCATCATGTGTTCGGTTGAGATGTCAGAAGGCTCGGTTCGGGTGGAGATCTGCGGAGATCAGACGCTGTTCTACCGACAGGCGCTTCCGTCGAGCGGTACCGGCAAACTCTGCGTCCTGTTGCTGCACGGGATCCGGTTCTCATCGGAGAACTGGCTGAAGATCGGGACTCTGGAGACTCTTGCTGTCGCGGGCTACCGAGCTGTGGCGATAGACCTGCCAGGTGAGCCACCGGCACAATACCATGGTGGTACAGTGATGACGGGATCATCAGATGCTAATAATATGGTACTTTAAGGTATACCATGGTACAGTGATGGTATCATCAGATGGTGATACTATGGTAGGCTACTTTAGGTTAAACCATGGTACAGTGATGTGATGGTTGGTATCATCATGGACCATGGTAGGCTACTTTAAAATATACCATGGTGCAGTGATTGTATCATCAGGTGGTGCCGTGGTGGTAATACTATACTTAAAGTATATCACGGTCAGTGATACAGTATCATCAGATGATAATAATGGTACTTATGATTACCATATTTATGGTCCATAATATTAGCATGGAACATAACTAAAATCTTATGACTGGTGCCGTCAAAAACCATGCTACTTTCTGTAAAATGTAAACATGAATATATCTTTTGTTTATTTGTTATTATGGCTATATAGAAAAATTAATTTATATTATTATAATTATATATTTAACTATTATAAATAATTATAATAGCATTCAGTTGCCTTTAATATGGACAGTGATGTAACATAGACGTATGGGAAGTGCTGTAAAGCATACAATATGTATATTTATATAAAAAAAAACTAATATATTTTATGTATAAAATACTGTGTAATTTCTTTATTTTTTTACAAAAGTACTGTTCTGGCAAAAATGACCATAAGTGTATCATGGCAAAACCCATGGTATTACCACACAGTACATACTTTTTGTTAATAAAAGGAATTATTTAAATATATTATTCGCTATTATTATAATATTATTAGTATATATTGTTAATAAATTATATTACATTTTGGTTTGTTTAGATGTCTTTGGTCCGTGCTGTGTTCATATTTCATTTGAACCGCACTAGGGTTGCTTGGACTCATCTTTTCAGTGTTCTCGGTCCTCTTGTTTGGTGTACACCAGGGTTCGGATGGCAGTGTTCACACTTATTCAACTGAACCGCACTAACAGAGCAATCGCACCAGGGTTCGTTTTAATCCAACCAGACATGCCGAGTGTGAACAGACCTTTAGTCTCTCACTAACTGATCACCGTCTGCTGTCTCTCCTCCTAAAGCGGCTCATTTCTGTGTGTCATTGCTCGCTCAGGCCTGGGTCAGTCTAAGGCGGCTCCGGCCCCGGCTCCAGTGGGTCAGCTGGCTCCAGGTGTGTTCCTCAGACAGGTGTGTGAGGGTCTGAACACGGGTCCTGTGGTGGTCATCAGCCCGTCTCTCAGCGGCATGTACTCGCTGCCGTTCCTCTTCCAGCACTCAGAGCAAGTCAAGGCCTATATCCCTGTAGCTCCTATCTGTACAGAGAAGATCTCAGCTGAGCAGTACAGCAGCATACAGGTGACACATCTATCTATCTATCTATCTATCTATCTATCTATCTATCTATCTATCTATCTATCTATCTATCTATCTATCTATCTATCTATCTATCTATCTATCTATCTATCTATCTATCTATCTATCTGGCTAAAAATGTGTGATTTTCATCCTTATGTACCTGCACAGACTCCAGCTCTTATAGTTTATGGAGACCAGGACACTCAGCTTGGGGAAGCGTCGCTAAGCAACCTGAGCCATCTACCCAATCACAAGGTGGTGGTAATGAAGGGGGCGGGACATCCTTGTTACCTTGATGATCCAGAGACCTGGCATAAGGCAATCCTCGACTTCCTACAGTTGTTGTGATCGTATTAAAAACCCTAATACAGTAAAAGTGTACTAATTGAAAACATTAATTACATAACCAATATTAAGTACATTTAATTCTTATACTTCATAACTGAATCATCGTGTCAGAAACACTCACTTTTTTGCTATGCATCTTTGCATAATCACATCTTTTTGTGCTATTGTTTGCAAAGCTTTTCATGTGGACGCCTGGCATTTGTTGAGATGCGCTGAAGACTTGAATCAACGAGACATGCTGTTTGCAACCCGAATTTATGTACTTCTGATTGAAAATAGAGGATAGTCAATGGCTGCGTCCGTAAGCGTGACTTGTTTCCTCGCTGCCTTATCAGGAATGACTTTGTTGGCAGCGTTTTCCCATGAAGGTTCCTCACGACACTGATAATTCCAGGCAGACTTCTGAGGCAGCGTAACGCTTTAATGATCTACAACAAAATAGAGAGAGCTTTGGTGATAATTAAGCTAATATTTAATAGTGATTTCTCACTAAAAATGACATCAGAAGTGGGAAACGTTGGTCAAAAATGTACATTTACACACAAACTGACCACCAACCACAACTTTCAGACACCGCCTTTATTTTTTAGCTCACTTGTCACAGAATGGAAAGCACAGGATTGTGGGATATCAAAGGCAGCGAAGGATACATTTATGCTGCCTTCAAAAATCCATCCTCTGAAGGCAACATTTGAAGCTTTCGGACGCAGCCAATAAGATAATAATGTAGGCGGGACTTGATTTTATCCATCTGGAACTGATTGGACTGTGAAAACTGTGTGTTTCATACCAGAACGAGGCCAGATCTACATCTCTGATACACGGCCAGCATCTATCGCTTGAAACTTGCAAGCCTGTTTTACATCACCTGAAAAGTAAAGTCGTTTCAGAAGTTATTATACTTGAATGAAAACTTTTTATTTTTACAACGGTGAATCGTTCACAGTAAGCATAAGAACATATTAAAGTTGGCATGAAATGAAAATTCACTATTTTATAAATGCACGTTATAGATCTTATTGTAAATAATTCATTTTTTGACCTCATAATGTTTGATCAAAAATATCATAACCGGACCTTGAGGTGAAAATGACAGACTTCTCTCTGGTGATGTATACGGAAGTTCTCCAATCATTTAGTCTGCTTAAACCCCGCTTTTGTGATGATACGCTCAACATACTTTTGACTAAATAGTGCAATTTAAATTTTTTGCTTTCAAAAGACAGATAATTAGAAACTGCAACTAAAACCCAATCATTAAGTATATTTTAAGCAGGTCTTAAGAATGCAGTACAGTACTGTGATGCCACACGTTAACATTGGGACCAAAGACAATGTTTCTGATGAACCTCTATAACATGTTGAATGCACCAGAAAAATAAACACTACACAATGCACTGAAGTGAAAAATATGAACATTATTTAATAACTGATTCTCTGTAATAAACAATTTGAAAATATTTTACAAGGAGTCACAGACACAATATTTTACAAATTTTCTCGTCTTTTTTTGTTGTCTGTACAAAAAAATGGAGCAACATGGACCCAGAGACGAGGCACTGAGCCCCCAACACACAATCCAATAAACGAACCAAAGAAAAAAACGCTCACCATGATTTCAGACCTCAACTCATGAGTATTATCAGCAGTATTGTGTTTCTATTTTTTTAATCGTTAATACATTTTAAAACCTCACTCATGTTAAATTCAGTTTCTCCTTTGTACGTTTTTTTAATATATATTTTTTGTACACATTTGTCACGGAACACCAGACTAAAGACTACGTAATCACATACACACGTCTCGCTGATGGAAACGCGCCTACGATGATGTTGCTTTGAAGGGGGAGGGGCTAGAGGAGGGTCTGAGCTAATGACTCCTCCCAGTGGGTGGGTTATACATCAGGCCCCTCCCCTTGCGCAAGCTGCTTCCTCTTTTTAGCTTTTCTTTTTGAATACTTTTTTTTCTCTTTTTTGGCAAAAGCAAATCTTTCAGACCACTTAAAAACAAGGACTTTAGTTCCACAGTGTACTTGGAATTGTGACACAAGACCGACACATTCATGATCATTTAATCGCAGTGTCTTGCCAAAATGTGTTTCACTAATTCAGGCAGTTCAGTGCCCCTGTACATCGACAGTGTTCCAGTTTTAAAACAATTACACACTTACTTTCCCCCCTAAAAATAAAATACAATAAAAAATAAAAAAAACGTGTGTGGTGAGGTTTTGAACCAACTCACCAGAATATAGAACAAGGCATTTTTTCCAACTTTCAGAGCGCTCTTTGCCCTGATATGAAATAAAATCGTAGACTGTTTCCATAATCAGGCAAAGAAAGAGGTACGCGTTAGCCGTTTAACAGGTTTCGACATTAAAGTAGTTGGTTAAAGGAATGTTTCGCCCAGAAATGAACATTATGTCATCATTTTACTCACCATCACGCCATCCAGGAGAACTTGATTTGAGAGCTAAGGAGTCATTTTTCAACGAATAACAACTTAATTTTTTCTCAGTCATTTGAAATATATTACACAAGACATGAGGACAACTTTTATGATATTTTTATTGTGCATTTCTGTCCCTTTAGGAGCTTAAAACCCCTGGTTGCTATATTTAACTATACTTTTGAATGGCACTTGGAAAACCCTATAAATGTGATTGGAAAACCTTGAGGGTGAGTAAATGTTTACATTTTTGGGTGAACTATCCCTTTATTTTCGCATTATCATACCGACACCTCGGTTTTTGCCATTAAGGTATGGGACCAAAGGCTTAAACAGTCTTTTTTAAAAATTCTTACATTATCACATATGACCTTTTATATTTGTGTTTTTCCATTTATAGGTCTCAATGGGGTCTAATATATGTATTCATACTGTAGATGGACTCATAAATCCATCCGGATGTGGGTTATAAACAGGAGTCATATGTGATAGTGTCAGGATCAGGATTGCATTCAAGTTCAGATATTACAACTCTTAGCACAACATATAGCATATTTATCTCACCAGGCAGCAACTAGTTCTGAAGGTGAATGAAAAACAAGCCGAGTGATGTAAGAATCGTGTCCACGAGCATCAGACATGCATCGCTCACCTCTCAAAAAAAAAGGTGTGTACAAAATACATGGCATCCTGGCAGCTTTTCATGAGAAAACGAGAAAATTAATAATAGTTCAGCCAAAATAAATTCTCATTTACTCACCCTCATGTCATGTTTGAGTTTCTTTCATTTGTAAAACACAAATGGATATGTCCTTTCCAAACATTTGTTTCCTACAGAAGAATGAATGTCATACAGGTTTAGAACGACAAGAAGGTGAATAAATGATGACAGAATTTTAACTTTCGGGTGAGCTTTTCTTTTTAAACAGACACAGATAGAGGGGATTTTGAACATGTTAAGTGCTGTCTTTTTAAATTGCACAGGCAAATAAAACAGGCTTTAACAGATTTTGCCTCAAGACAGACAGATTTGAAACATTCGTTTGACACGGATCATTCCTTCAAAACCAACAATGACAATACTCTCAAAATACTTCTCATAAAATTGTCAATTTTTCAGTTATTTCACGTAACAGCAAACATCGATTCTTTTCCTCAACCATCAGAAAACCTTCATACACACATAAACACTCGCTCCCCTCACACACTGGACAAATAAACTACAGCAGGGAAGGATGTGTGTATACATCCTCTGTTATGATGGATTGAGGTTATGTAGAGCGGTCGGTTCAACTCCAAAATCTACTTTGCCAAAACTCAGTGGCAACTCGGCAGTATGATCCAACTTTGGCCACAACTATCAGCAAGTGAAAAGCTCTTTCAAAGACCAGCCAAGGGGTTGTTTTTGGACACGTCTTGCCATGGAGCTTTACTCTGTAGGTGGTGGCCACTGAAATGCCAAATGTGCAACTAAGAACCAGTAAGCGAGGTTCGGATTTAACCCCGTTTACTGACAAGTCGAATGCATAAAGTGCTTGTCAAATTTTAGTACATGTAGGCATGGAGCTGAAGGGTATGGCAAACACTGCGGCTCAATAATACTCCAAATTAAAACGATAAATCGCATTCCCTTATGCCAGTCAGGTTACGTGTTTGGAGGCACTGGCTGTGTTCAGAATAGCATACTATTATGCGTATTATAATAAAAGGAATGCTGAATACTGTGTCCTACAATGCAATGCACTCGACTTGACCTGCCATTTCCAGTGTGATGAATGACTGGAAACAATATCAACTTTGATTATCTCAACTATATACGGAAGCGTATTGCATTCACTTGAAGAAAAAAAATCGACTCTGTTTTTCTGAATTAATGAGTTAATTATCTCAGAATTACGAGATAATTTTTCATGGAAAAAAAGTTTTTGCTCTGTTTTTCTGAATTAACGAGTTAATTATCTCAGAACTACGAGATAATTTTTCATGGAAAAAAAGTTTTTGCTCTGTTTTTCTGAATTTCTGAGTTTTTGAGATAATCAAGTCATTAATTCAGAAAAAGAGCAAAAAAAAAATTTCCATGAAAAATTATCTTGTAATTCTGAGATAGTTAACTCGTTAATTCAGAAAAACAGAGCAAAAACTTTTTATCTTGTAATTCTGAGATAATTAACTCGTTAATTCAGAAAAACAGAGTAGATCTTTTTCTTCAAGTGAATGCAATCCGCTTCCGTAACTATATCCCTCTTGACTTATTTGATCAGTTCATCATTTGAACACAAACTTTGATTAAAAACGCAAAATAACAATTTTTTCTTAACCGGCCATGGCTAAACCTGCTCAATATTGAGGTCATGTGACCAGAACATAGCATAAAAATGTTCATCAGTAAACATTAGTGAGTATTTTTTAAGAGTAGCCTGAAAAATACAGTATGCAGTACGCTAGTATTCTATTTCAAACACGACCTGTTTGACTAAAGTTTTAAGGCCCATGAAAGACTTTAACTCGCACTGAACTGACTGAGGGTGAAGCTCGATCTCCACCATGATCACTGCTGTCCACTATAAAGTGCATCAAGGCACAGCTAAAAGAAGGTTGATAGAGGGCCCAAAACAAGGGTTTTTCATCGCATTACTAACATTTCAACATAAGAGATAATATCATGACAGATACTAAAAACCAGTCGAAGCCAGAAACAAAACTCTATGCAAATACACAAGAGCAGACTCAAAATGCTGTTTTGG